GCTGCTATTTCTAGTTATAATTTTCCTTTATCTCGTTTCGAGCAAGCTCTTTCGTCTTTATTTTGTATTGCACTTAGTTCACGTGTTTTATTGAGTACAACTGATTATAAAAGTCCCTCTTTAATTCGCTTACAGTTTACCAGATTGATTAAAGCTAAGTCTCCGTAACGTATCCCCTGGTTTGGTTGGTATTTTCTCCGGTCGCGATTTTCTCGGCGCTTCATTCGGTCTTGATGTTCGCTTGCCGTCACAACCCCGTTGACCTAAAGTTTTGTGGACCACAACAAATCCCCCATGACAAGGCCAAAACCGACCTCCATAAAAGGTATAACTGGACAAATCACAACAAGTCCAACGTCCCAAACATATTATGGAAAGATACAAAAGCCCAACCACGCGAAAAAATATGAACTGAGCTGGTCATGAATTGTTGTCCTTTAATACGTTACTGGTTAAATAATACTACCGGAAGTCACGCATAGGAGCCGCGATCGGAAAAACTGATCTTAAAATTGCGTTAAAAGCTTCCCGAGAATTGAAAACAGGCTACTTATTTTAGCAGAATACGTTAAAACGGCCTTTCGTTCGAAACGCGTACATCGAAAGCATTCTCCACTGCTTTGACGTAAGTAGTAGTGTTAATTACTCACTCGGTAATTCAGGCCCCGTCCACACTAATGTGTAGTGAAAAGCGAAACAGAAAGCTCACTTGTTCTTTCTGAATTAAATAGACAGTGTAAATCTAGCTGCGAAAAGTTTACTTATCTATATTCAACGTTTAATTTTGCAGCTCGATAGCCTGCATGTAAACACCCCAAGTAAAATTCACAATCTCCAACCGAAGACCGAAGGCGGTAGATCATTCGCAGTCACTACCTGTAACCTTTGGAATAGCTCAAGTCTAGAACTCAGGAATTCTGTGTCATTAGGATCTTTTAAGAACAATTATAGAAACAGCCTTCTTAAGGTACAACAGAAACTTGGTAGTTTGGAAAACAAGGAATTCTGGAATACTCTGAATACCCGGAATGAGCCGAAAAATAGCAAATTAAATAAATAGATAAATAAGAACATTGATGATTAAAAATTAATGGTAAATTCAGAACTTAATTAAATAGTTTAATACGAAAATTTTCTCTGAGGGTCCTGAAAAAAAAAACACTTACCGGCACTGCTCATGGAGATGCCCATATTAGAATTAAAAAAAGTCTGCGTCAGGCCAGTAGCCCAT